GGGTCGTGGGAATTTCGGAGGCAGTGGTGGAAGTTACAACAGAGGTGGAAGTTTTGGTAGTAGAGGTACATGTTAGTTCTTCCCAGTGTCCTTCCAAGATACTATTTTGCACTATTTGTTGTTAATTTGTTCATAACATAATATTTTTGTTCTGCTTTAGGAAGCTACAGTGGTGGGGGCACTGGCAGCAGTAGAGGAAGCTTTGGCAGTGGCGATGGATATAATGGTTTTGGTGATGGTAAGCATGGGAGTGCAAATACCACTTGCATAATACGTGAGATGTATAACTTTCAATAGCTTGACAGCCATACCTAGTTACACTGGTGTCAAAATGATTTCAGTCCAGAAGTGGACCTAGCAAGGGACCATATTGGGAAAGGTTTTTAAGGGATAACATTTTTTCTTTATAATTCCCCATTGCAACTACTCCTGTCCTGGTATGAAAAGGGGTAAGAAGTTATATTTATCGTTAAAGAAAACAAAAGTATCATAATAGGACACAGTTTTTAGTGACTTAGGGAATATCTTGACATAGGAAATGTTAAGGTATACAGAAAATCTATACGAAATAATTAGATACTTTAAGTCAGTCATTAGTAGCTTAACCCATTAATTTCAATGGAGCACAGTGTCATTGCTTTCAAAGCATGTGCTAAAATATGACCTAATGTCTTCCTATGGAATATTGCTTCTGTTCTTCAAACTAGGTACTTCATTTGTTTTTGAAAAACAATTCTGATCAGCCAAAGGGATACATGGTTAATAATCAGGAATGATGCATTCTGCAAGCCAAAACATCTGAAATAAAGAGGCGTTGCAGAAAGTTGATTGATTTTATTTCCCAAGTTCCACTACCTTATTGATAACAAATGTTTGTTACATTTAATTCAAGGTGGAAACTATGGTGGTAGCCCTGGATATGGTGGCCGAGGTGGTTATGCTGGTAGCCCAAGCTATGGAAATCCAGGTGGTGGATATGGCGGAGGAAGTGGAGGCTATGATGGTTATAGTGAAGGAGGAAGCTTTGGTGGAGGTGAGAAGCCTAAATTGCATTAGAATTATAAATATTTATAAATATAAATCAAAGTACACTTCCAGTGTTGTGAAATCACATTTGAAAATTTTTGGAAGGATTCAGGGGCATGTTTCAATGCTTAATATCATCTATGTTAGATTGGTAGCTTAACTTTCAAGAGTTCCAGTGCTAGCTGCTAGGGATATGGCATTGATTTTTTTAACCTGTATCTGTTTTACTGTATAAGTAGTCTGTTCTGTTAATTTTTCTGTAGCATTCTGTAATTTTTTTTTAAGGGAGATATAAAGGGCGTAGAGATTGGCCTTAAAGGACAGAAGGAAGAGCCACTATTAGGCAGTAGTCAGATAAGCACCAGGGCCAAAAATTATCTCACAGAAGCCCCTCCCTAGCTCAGATAAAATGAAGGCGGAGGAAGCAGCACATTTAGACATGCAAAATTTTCTTGCTATAGCTTTATAATAAAAATAGTACTGACTTTCATGGCATTGGTTTCTTAGTCTGGTCTACATGTAGGACTAACACTAGGTAAATGTCACATTCTTTGTGAAATTTTCCCTAGTACTATTTATATAACAATAGCACTTAAACTTCTATACCACCTCATAGTGCTCTAGAGCACTCTGGGCGGTTTACAGTGTCAGCATATTGCTTCCAACAAACAATTCTCATTTTACCGACCTCAGAAGGATGGAAGGTTGAGTCAACCTTGAACCCCTTCAGGCTTGAACTTCAGTCTGTGAACAGAGTTTGCCTGTAGTACTGCATTCTAACCAATGCACCATATATTAAATATTTGGGTTGAGTGCTGGACCATAGTTTGGCGTATACTTCTCGAAAGAGCAAACTGAGTCTATTGATTTAAAAAATGATAGACAAATGAGATTGTCAAATATATCCATCAGAATGAGAACTAAAACTTGGAAATAGTTTGAATTTCCTTTAGCTAGAAGAAAGATGACTATATATTTAAAGAAAACTCTTCCCAACAAAGAATGTTAGCATCCATTGTCATATATTAGTGAACCAAGAGAACTTTCCCACTTCACAGTGATATTATTGGAAGTGAAGTGAAACTAGTCTTTCTCTTAGATAATTCAATAGGCTGAGAGATCCATAGACGCATAACTTCTGGATGCTTTAGAATTCTGACAGAATTGACCATGATGTGATTAGTTAGAAACGTGTTGAGTATTTTTGTGTTTCTCTCAAAAGTTTAAAATATCCCATAACACTCTTACACAAGTTCGCTGCAGGGCACAGTTTGGGAACTACAGGGCATCATGAAAAAATTATGGGACACTTAGGGACACTTTGAACTGAGAAAATTTGGGAGTTTCTACGATATATCAAGTCATCAGAAAGCCAACTATCTGCCAGCTGGTTTATGGAGAGGCTGGTATGTCACTTGCTTACAGATTGTTTTTTTCCTTATTGAAAAAACATACTTTGGTATACTTAAAGTGAAGCAGAAAGACACCCATGACATTTCTTCCTCCCAGTGTTCCTAAGGCTAGTTTCTCACAGGTTATCATACCAAAGTTACTAGCTGGAACCAAATGTTTGTTTCTTACTAGTGGGGAAAAGAAGAGAAACAATGACTCCGTGACTTCTATTTTTGTAGTTAAAACCTGCATATGTTTCTATGATATACCTCACATTATACATTGAAATTTCATAGATTTGCCTTCAGTAAATCACTAAAATGCATATGTTGCATATTAAATTGTATGCAATAGTGCTTCACTTATTTAATCTAATTTGTAATTTCAAATTATATAACAGACTTGACGAACGTAAAATTAAATTTCTATTTTAGGCAACTATGGTGGCAGTGGAAGCTACAGTGATTTTGGCAACTACAGTGGACAGCAGACTTCAAGTTATGGGCCCATGAAAGGAAGTAGCAGTTTCAGTGGCAGAAGTTCAGGCAGTCCCTATGGTGGTAAATGCAATGTTAAAATATATGCAGCTAGCTAGCATCTTTCAACAAAAGCTTGAATATAAACAGTTATTATATTCCATTTGTAGGTGGCTATGGGTCAAGTGGAGGAAGTGGCGGCTATGGTGGACGAAGATTCTAAAAACTAGTGGATAATGGTATGTATGCTACAAATAAATGTTTTTAATTAAGCTTACAACATTTCTTTGAGAGTAATCTTTTTTTTTTTATCCTGTATTCAACAGGCTACAGTTCTTAGCAGGAGAAAGCGAGGAGTTGTCAGGAAAGCTGCAGGTTACTTTGAGACAGTCGTCCCAAATGAATTAGAGGAACTGTAAAATCTGCCACAGAAGGAGCGATGAACCATAGTCAGAAAAGTTACTGCAGCTTAAACAGGAAACCCTTCTTAAGGACTGTTAATAGCCACAGTTTGCAAAGAGTGCAGCTATTGATTTAATGCAATGTAGTGTTTAGATGTACATTCCTGACTTTTTTTAATTTGTTGTTGTAGCTTTGTCTTTTCTTCATAAAATCAGGTATATTGCCCTGTAAATTTGTGGTAGTGGTACCAGGAATTAAAAATAATTAAGGAACTTTTAATTTTTTTCAATACTTGTGTAGTTCAGTTTTTTCTTACCAAAACCTCTTTAAACAAAGAAATGTAGTTTTAGGGTATATTCTTGCTAGGAAAAAAAATCAGTGCATTATAATCTGTATTAATTTAAACCAATAGAAATGCTGAACCGTTTTAAATACCTTTAAGTTTTTTCTGCATATGTAACCAAATGACACGAGTTGCACATGCATAGGGAGAGGAAAGATGTTTGCATTAAAGCTTGTTTAGCTGCATAATTAGGACTGAGTCATTTAAACCAATGCTTGTGAATGATAAAAGCTTTACTTTCAAATGAGAATTCCAGATATTTCTGGGCTGTGCATATCATAATTTATAGCATTTGTTTTTAGTTTAAACCTTCTAAGTAAATAAGCATTGAAGAGATCCTTTAAAGTTTATTCAGTTTGCCTCCCACTTTGCTAATATATAAAGGAGCTACAAGAAACATTGGCAGAACAGGTTTCTGCCTTTTATAATTATTGAGACTCAGTTTCCCTCAAATTGCAAACAGATTAAATGCACACATAATTGAATTAAAACTTTGAATCTAATAGCGTGGGTCTGTTACTTAGCTTACAGTTCTACAGTTTCATATGTATATATATATCTGCCCCCAAAATATAGATTCATCTATAAAGGTGCCTAAGTTCTACTGTGTATAATTCTGTATGCCCCTTTCTATCTGATGCTAATTTGCAACACAGAAACAATCTGAGTTCGTTGGAATAATATAACTCTTCTGAGCATGAATGCATCAAGATGTTTCACACACTTTCTAATGCCCTGATAATGGGTCTTGAAGGTAAAGGGAAAGAAATAGGAGCTAATTTGGTAGAACCTGTTGTTGCTAATGAGGCTCCTATGGCTACAATTAAACAAATACTGTGCATTGGAATGATTTGATAAAAATTATTAAAGTCACAATCATGACTGAGTTGTTTACTCCTTCACTTACCTAGATTTATTTACAGCCATGTTCCCTAATAATTTGCTATCCTTCTTAATCTGATCAGACTTCTTTTTGAACTATTGCCAGAGCAGTCCTTTCTGTCAGTACACATCCAGAAGAGTAGGGCACAGTGAGTAGAAGAAATTCAGACATTTTTCACCTCTTACTTCTGTAGGTCAATGAGTTTAAGATAAACTTAATTCCAGTGTAGGAATTGATTGCTGAACAAATTGCTCAAGAATCAGACATGAAGTCATCATTGGGTATAGAATGCTATGGTTAAAATTTACTTTAAAACTATATATAAGGAAACGTAGTGGTGCGATGGTTGGAATGCAGTATTGCAGTCTAGCTCTGCCAAATGCCAGCAGTTTGATCCTAACCAGCTCAAGGTTGACTTAGTCTTCCTTTCTTCCTTCCAAGGTCGGTAAAATGAGGACCCAGATTGTTGGGGACAATATGCTGACATTTGTGAACAGCTCAGAGTGTTCTAAAGCAACAGTCTCCAACCTTTCAGACTTGGTGACCCGGCCTGGGAGGGGGGCATGTGAATTGCAGGCACAAGCGTGTACAGCTCCCATTTGTGTGAGCGGTGGATGCACACATCCTCCACTCACATAAATGGAGCTTTGTGCATGAGCGGAGGGTGCTTGCGCTCGAAGCTTCACTCGGACGAGAGGCAGCACTTGTGCGAGCAGAGCGTGCTCTCTTACAAAGCTCCATTCACACAAATTGAGCTTTGTGGCTAGTGGAACTTTGCGCACAACAGCAAATGCCCTTCACTCATGCGAGTGGAGCTTCATGCTCAAACACACCCTTGCCTGCCACTCACATGAGTGGAGCTTTACATACGGACACTTGCCCATATCTCCCGCAGCCCAGTTTCAAACAGGCCACAGCCTGGTAGTGGGCCGCGGCCCGGGGATTGGGGATCTCTATTATAAAGTACCATGGGGTGATATATAAGTCTAAGTGCTACTGCTATATGTGAACCCAACTCAAAGAGTATCAGTCTCCCAAAGATCTACAGTTTCATATGAGTAAAGGTGGGAATGAAGTATTCGAAGTATTCGTTTCTTGATGTGTCTTATCTCCAAGAAAGTGCATTCCAATAGTCAAAGCTTGTTGAAAGGGAAACGCTGTTACTGTAGCGTTCTCATGTACTTGCCTTATTTTTAAAATTTATATGCCACCCATCTCCCCAGTAGAGTGACTCTAGGGGGACCTACATTAGTACACACATGCATTTCCTGTAACGGTAGATCAGATATAACTCATCCCTTCTAAGACTGAATTCAGCAGCATAATTGGAGTAATTGGTTAAGACGTTCAATCTGTTTTTAATGGAGATGGAATGACTCTTGATGTTATAAAGACAAAACAATACTAGTGTGTTAATCTTTTGCGAAAATGTGAAACCTGTAAGGTAATCAGTGACTTAGACCTAGATCTCTGTGAATTCTGACAAATAAAAGGAGTGTACAGTGAATAACCGGCATTAAAGATATTTTAGTCGAAATGAGGATCAAACGAGATTCAGACAGGACTTCAGCGCCCAAGTCAGCAAATTAAAGGAGGACAAGGCAGCAACAGCTTCAACTTCCAGACAAGAGAAGGCATAAATATACTATGCTGATAGTGAGCAGCTTCCCCAAAATAGTTAAATCTGCCCGTCAGTGATGCAATAACGAAGAAAGTCTAGGAAGAGTTCTTCACCAATTGGAATCTCCCCAGGTCATAGCTACTTGAGTTGGCCCAGTCGTAGGTCTAGCATTTAGACCTGAAAGGGGAGTAAGACTAGGTAAGGTTTGTCTCTAACACTTTCCATGAATTAAAAAAATAATTCCTCTTTGAACATGGTAAGAAAGATCTGTTTGACTTGCAGATTATTGAAGAAACCTCTGTGACCAGAGGTGGATATCTTATTGGAAAACTTTTGCTTGGTAAGAATGTACAACACTGATCCTTTTATTGTATTCCTGAGCTCTGAAAAATTTTTGAGTTTTGGAGACAAGAACAAACTGGGTAAATGTGAAAATATATTGAATAATTACTGTATTCAAATCAATGTGGATGGGTATATTAAATAATTGGCATTTAGGTCTAACATGTAATAGCATGAATGGAATTGGGGGGGGAGGACTACTCTGAGCTTGAAACAAAACATTTTTAATATTTTGAGAAGATGTTTTTTTTCCTGATGAAACATAACATACCTTTGACCACTTTAGCATAGGAAAAATGGGTACTCCTTGAAACAAGTTTTACTCCCCTGCTTTCCTAGAACAAAAAGTTCCCATTGTATTGTAGCAGAATATGGAAAGCAACGGAACAAATTATTTTGTTTTACTTTTTGGAAATCTAAGAACAGTTGATTGCTTTTTGCTATTTGCATGCTCCTGGCATATAGCTTCTTAATGCCGTTACCAAAATTTGACAGGAATCACTGTATTTTGGAGGGATAATTTCCCAGTGATTTGGGTAAGAGGTGTATGATGCATCACAGATTGTTGAACATACCTAATTGCATACATCAGGCAAATTAAAAAAAAAACACAACCTTTCACACAACCTGAAAATCCTGATTTTATTACTCGTGTGATTTTTCAGTTAGAAAAGTAGCCAGTATAAAGTTAGCATTGCTGGATTCCCATTGGTAATGTTTCTAATTGCCAAATTGCAGGCAAGAAAATCAGTAACATTCTCACCTGGAATACTTGATGTGCCCTCTAAATTAATTTTCAGGTAACAAATCTTTAAAATGAGTTTTTCGGGGTTTGTTTTTTTAGGATTTTTAAAATTCTATAAATCTTAAATTGTGTAATACTGAAATTCATTTGCCTTATTCTGTTATTCTGCATGTAAAAGAATAGGACTGGTTCCAGATTGTCTGCCTTTTCTGGCCGTCAGCATCTCAGTTTAACTTGCAAGTTATGAATTTATGAGTAGTTTGCAATTTCTGTGCCTATCTATAATAGTAGCATCAAATGTACAACTTGTTATGTTAAAAGTAAAAAGGAACTGTGGCTAATTGAAACTGAATATTAGAGAATATTTATGGATTGTGTCTTGCTATTAATCCTAGGACTATGAGTGGCAAAGAGCACCTATGCTCCCTTTTTGCCTTATGAAAACAGGGTTGAGACTAAAATGGGTACAGTAATCTCAGCAATCCCCAGCAAGATGGAAATGGGGTGAGTGCATGTGTTTCTCTGTGCCTCAAATTTGGATAGATATTTTTATTGGTAAAAGAGTACCTGAATCCTGTATGCGCTCAGCTAAATATTTTCCCAAACAAGACGGAGATTAACCAACTGTACGTTTGGTGATGGGCTTTATATACATTATGGTGCTAGAACAGTGCCAGCATTAGGGATCTTATGGTCCTCAATAAACTTAGCAAAGTTATGATATTCAGTAGGTTACCATTCTTAATGTGCTAAATTGTTTGCTTTTATCTTCTGCTCTGCAGGATGACTAATCCTGAAGAAACAATCGTCTGTTTCCATAAATTGAAATTTTTGATTCTTCAATGGAACATGCATACAACTGATAGCTATGAGAGCAAAAATTGAACCATGTAATAATCAAATGCTTACAATAAAACATAGTTAATTATGATAGTTGATGAATCTGAATTCTAGTACTGGATCATCATTTATTTCTGCATTAAGCAACTGACTTGCATGATTTCTTCTGAATTGTTAGGACACAAAGTTGAACTATTTGAAGCCACTTAAAGGAATATTGGATTCACATTGCTCATTTAGTTCCACATGAAACAACAGGTTCTGTTCAAATGTTTGGCTCTACCCTAGGGGATGTGTCTCAGAGTTTAAGGTCACATCCTGCTAGAACAAAACCTCAGGGCATGCTTACATGAACAAGCACACTTTCATAATTTCTAGCTGACATTATGGATTAGTAATTTGGGTCGATATGTCAGTGTACCATTAATGATCTGAGAATGAAGAATACAAGCTACATTCTTAGATTTGTATCACATTACAATTTTCCAATGTTTCTCTTTAATTTTGAAGCATGAGTAATTTTACAATGGCGTATTTGTGCAATTTCACTGCAAAACACTGTAAAACAGTAATCAGATGCTTTTTAGGCAGGGGAACAAAGCCCAGATAGGATTTGTTCTTTCTTTCCTAAGTCTTCAAAGAATTAAGTATGAGATATAAAAAGCTGAAGACCCTGAACCACATAACTGACTTCCATAAAACTACAGTTAAAACCCGTGAGGATTGTAACCATTGCAGTGCTCTTTCAAATAAGGTAATCTATTTCTTTTACCACACAAAAGAGTGGCATTTTGTTCAATAAACTTCACAAAAATGCTATTTTTTCTTAATGGTAGAAAGGTAAATCAGTTACTAGTTTTAAGATGTGAAAAAAGAGAAGCCAACAAACGCTCATGAATGAATTGATTAGAAGATGCCGTATAACAAAGAGCTCTTCGGTGCTGTGGATCTCATTCTAAAGCCCTGGTTCTGTTCCAGTTCAGCGTAGAAGTCACTCGAGCCTAAATTACAAACTGGGACAATTTGCAATTTGCATCTTGATGCCACTTCCATTGCTAAAATCAAGAGTAACGTGGTCTCTCCCGTATTGAGTGGAGATGAAATCCATGTTCAAATCCTTCAAGCACAAAACCTGTTGGATGACCAATGATACCTGTCCTCTTTACACGCTGGACTGAATTCCGTTACAGAAAAACAATGGGGTGAAATCTATTTTCCGTAAATCTTTCTGGCAAAGGGATTTGAGGTTTTTTTTTTTTTTTTAACCTGATGCAATTCTAAATAGTCTTGAAATAAGAGTTGTTTTGGCTGCAATCCTAGATGCTGATTATTCCCTTTAAATCCTTTGTGGTCCTGAGTATCGACAGTATCTTGTCAGCACAGAACAGCTGAAACGGGATGTTTCAAGTTTCCACACAATGGGATGTACGAGGAGGAGGGGTTTAGAAATGAACTGCTTGGCTCCCACAATCTGCCCCTCAAAGTCAGAATGGCTCCCATCCCTATTAATATTTAGGAGGGCCATTAAAAGGCTTGGAAAGAGGAAGGGGATGACCAGCAGCAAGGTTGAAAGACATAGTCACTGTGGGTGCATACTAGACCTGAAAGACTGGGCCAGGGGCAGATTGTCATGGAAATCAATTTGGTTGCTGAATTGACACCGACTTAATGGCACATAATCATTTACAATACTTCTATGTAGATCCTTGGGGATAAATGTTATATATCAAACTAAGGTACTGTCCATTGCTCCTCTCAAAGAGACAACTGATCATTTCTTTAAAAAAAAAAACCTGTTTCCTGAAAACTATCTCTTAGTATCGTGTTTTTCTTCTTAGTTTTCTTCTGAAATATAGAATAAATAGCTGCATTCTTAAACTAAATTACAAACATGCTTAAAAGAATAAAATTGAATTGAATAACTGAATCCCATTAGTTATTTAACGTCCAACTTTGTATGGGTACTGGACTTAAATCTAATGGTGCAATTATTTGTCTAGTGCACCCAAGTGGCAAAATTATGAATATGATCAAGAGGTTATTTAACAGAACAATGAACGGGACCTTGGAGGTCTTCTAGTCCAACCCCATGCTCAAGCAGGAGACCCTATCATTTCAGACAAGGGGTTGTCCAATCTCTTCTTAAAAACCTAAAGTTTAGGATGCCAAAGATCCCCTACTCATCAATAAAGTCTTGTTCAACTACCCAATCTGGCTTCAGAGACTTTTAATACATTTCAGGTCAAATATATGAAAATATAAGCTAGAAAAAAAAGTTGGGATAATAAAAGCTTAAGATTCATAAGAAGCTGTTGTGTGTCTATCCAGTGACCCACTCCCCCATTTCAACCACATTCAGTAACATAGTTGTGCAGCTTTGGCTGAAACAAAATCATACTTTACATAACCATTTACTAAATTATCAAATAAAAAAATTAACCACTTTAAAAGTACAAAAACTCTTTATCATCTAACAATCTTCCAATGATCAGGTTCCTGAAGCTCCATTAATTTTAATGAAAGAATGTTAAGCACATGCTTAATGTTCCTACTCTAAGCTATTCTTCAAAGTGCTTGTCTTTGGTTGGGTTCTGTCCTATTGCTGCATTATACATATCACTTTATACTGCATTCAAGCTGCTATTTTAAAGTAAATACACTTGTAAACTAAAAAAATCATTTGCATTTATAAAGTGATGTACCTTAAGAGGGAAAATTAATTTTGTAAATATGTAGGATTAGCAGTTAAATCACGCTTGATACTTATTTGAATAAAGCAACTATAGAAATTGTATATAAATAAGACATCTTGAAATATTTACACAAGCACAAAAACTACTTAAGCTGCTATTATATAACAGGAAGAACTACTAGTGTGTTGTGGAAGTATTATCCATTGTGCATACATTTTGCTTTACGCTAATGGTTTAGTGCGATCATACATTAAAACATATAGTCACTTGAAAAAGGACAATGTTGGGTTACATGATGCTTATCAATAGAAAATAGCAATGTAAAAATAATCATAGAAATATTTTTTTTTGTCTCCCTGATCTTCAGAACTTAAGTCTCTAGCTTCTTGCTCTTAGGCACAAGGAAAATGCTCCCATCTCTGGTTTGCTGCAGTGAGTAATCATTTGGGGAGTATGGCTTGCCATCTTCATCCCGAAGCATGCTGAAGACTTCAAGGTACAGGGTGCTCAGCTGCTTTTTCAGCAGCTGCAGGCTTTTGTCATTGTCCACCTTCTCTTTCAGGAGCCTCTCTTTCTCCTCCTTCAGGTAATCCAAATCGTGCTCCAATTCAGTAATGTTTTCCAGTTTCCTTTTACGACAGTTTTGAGCAGCTACTTTGTTCTTGCCTCGCCTTCGTATGTCACGAATCAGAGTGAGCTGAGCCTCGTTGAAGTGCTGCTTGGACATCATTTCATTGAAGTCATCCACAGGGAGATTGATGATTTTTTCAACAGAAAAAGGGATCTGCAGAGCTTTTGCTCTCAGCTCATCTCTACTGAGATGAGCTTCTTCTTGGTTGAAGGGCTTATCTTTCATAAATGGAGCTTCAACGTGGCCAGGATTGGCAGGCAATTCTCTTTGAGGTGTACTAGTAAGCGGTAAGTCAGGCTTTGGGGTGCCTTGCTCCAGAGATGGAGAGGCAGGAACCTGCAGGTGAAAAGAGTGAATCTTTGCATTGGTTGGTGACACAATTTCAGGGACGCTATCAATCTCCTCCATTTCTGAATCACTGCATCCAAAGCCTGTATCCTGACAGACCGAAGATGACTCAACAGAATGAGCTGGGGAGGTTGTATTGGGACTTGCATTCAGTGAAATACCAGAATCCGAATCATTATACTCGGGGGCATTTCCTGCAAGGTCTTGGTTAAAAGCTTTGCACTGAGCAAAATCCGAAAGGTCAATCGGTTCACTTAAAAAGCCAGCAATTGCCTGATCCACAAAATGAGATGGTGGAGTAGCCGCTCTGGTGTCCATCTTCACATCAATAAAGGAATAGAAATCCTCACAGAAATCAGTGCTACGTTGACTAGAATCTTCTGGCAACCCTAGGCTGGAATAGGGATCCTCCAAAGGTTTCAGGAAGTCTTGACTGCAGTTAACAATTTCTTTCTCCATGGCCGATATTGAATTGTAGAAGGTAAAGTTATCGGCTGCCTCTGATGTGGTATTTACAGCAAATGGGCTTGATGTTACATCGGCGAGACTGTCATTTTGTATATTAAGACACTGTAGAAAGAAAAGTTCCAAAAATGTTCAATAAAACTTACACGATAATCTTATGTATTTCATTTTAGAGTTCGTACTGGAGGATTTTCTGGTCTGAAAACCACACTAGAATTTTTAGTGGCATGCTTGCATGCAGCCTAGCAACTAAGCTTTGGTTTAATCCGATTTAAATGTAATTCAGAGTAATTATATGATTCCTTTCCATCTGTTTAACATTTCTGTCACATGAAAAATGACAACTTGGGGAGGACCTCTGAGAAGGACAATCTCCCTAATCGTGTTTTACACATTAGCAGTTTCTGAGCAGGTGATGCATCTCTGGAGCTAGGGAGGCAGTATTTATGGGTAATCTTGTGCCACACACATGGACACTGTAGTCTTCACTGTCACCTTTTTACATACTATGAGACTAGAAAATCTGGTGAGACAAACATCAAGCAAGAGAAATGAGGGGGAGAGAGATGCAAGTAATTAGTACCCTCCCCTCTTTCTCCACTGACAATTTCAAAAAGGAAATGTGAATACTGAGAAGGGGATGAAATGCATCAGAACCTTGAAACTACAACTTATCGACCCTTCAGTCATTCAACTTGTATTTGAATCAGTTGCCTAACTCAAGAAATTTGCTTAAATGTAAGAGTTCGCAAGAGTTTATGCTGTTCCTCATAACAGGAACGGAACCATTCCTTTTGTAGGATTGAGTGGTATGGCCTTTCAATATAAATAAATGTAGACCTACCAGGTTTCTTTCCTCAAGAATCAACTTCTGTTTGAGAAATTTCTGTTTTCCCTGCATTCAGGGTAAAATAATTTGTGTTTTGTTTATAAATTCCCGCTCCTTTTCATTATTGTTACTCTAGATCAGTGGTTCTCAACCTTTTTAATGCCGCGACCCCCAACCGGTCGTAAGTCGAGGACTAAACCAGTCGTAAGTCGAGGACTACCCAACCAGTCGTAAGTCGAGGACTTTCCCTGCCCGGGAGTGCCGCGCATGCGTGGTTCCGCCCCCTGCACCGGCCGAGGCGTAGCTGGCAAGCGGCAGAGACGGAGCAGGCCGACCACCAGCTGGCCCAGCTCAAGGGAGGTAAGGCACCCGCCGGAAAAGGGGGAAAAATGGCAGACAGCCTTGCTTGGCGACCCCCGTGAAATGGTCAATCGACCCCAAATGGGGTCACGTCCCATAGGTTGAGAACCGCTGCTCTAGATTTACAAAGTGTCATTTCTCAAAAAACAAAATCCGTGACATATGAAAAAATCTAGGCTTTTAAAATATTTTAAAGTCTCTGATGAGCTTGCAAATAATTGGATTTCTGGAGTACGAAACTGAGGATTCTGTTTATTTTTAAGAAAAAGCAGGCTTACTCTTCCTACGCAATTATGGATAAAACTGATATGAGCAAGATTTTTTTTTTAAAAAAAAAAAAACCTCCCCAATTATCAAAAGGATATTAAATAGCAAGATTTCTCTCCTAATAAAAATAACCAAATAGACTTTCAATCCATTTTCAAGCAAACTAGCTTTAGGACTGTAATGCAAGTTAGGGCTTTAGTTTATAGTACAAATTCTCTCTAGAAAACAAATATTATTTCATTTGCACTACAAATAAATCTTGGTTGCAAGTTAAGTAGTTCACAGCTATTAGAACACTGTCAAGTTGTTATTTGGTGACGTTTCTTTTTTTTTCTCCCACTGAATTATCCTATGCAGAGTGATGTGGGAGAGAATTGACCGAGAAGACAAAAATGTCAACGGTAATTTTTCCTTTTACCAAAATATCTGTCCAAAATACATAGCCAAACACTGACAGCAAATATTACCTGCAGTTCTGGAATAGACAGGAGTTCTTCCCACACTTGTTCTATATCTTGTGTGTTCTCCACTTTTGTATCTAATAATTCTGGGATCGTAGACTGAAGTACAGATGAGTCAAGCCGCTGCATAGGGTTAGATTCAACAAAGACCTGATTGGCAGCCATTTCCAAAGGTGCCACTTGTCGAAATTCAGCTGGAGAAATCTAGAATATATGAAAGAGATCATTGATATACCTGTGCTTGGAGCCTTAAACATTAGCATGAAAAGATGTATATCGTCAAATCTGCGGCTCACAGTATTAAGAGGGATGTAAAAAGTAACAAGGAAAGAGATGCAGTTAAGTCCATAAAGACTGTCAAAGTGGTGAATATTTTTACCTCACTCTCGTCTCCAAATGAAAATGTCTCTGCTAAAATCTGCATGTAGTCATCAAAGAGAACATCTGCATCTTGTTTGGAAATATGTACACTCTGGGTAAGAAACACAGAAAGTTACAATTGTGTTAAATGCGGATTCATCGAAGACACCCACAGCAACCAGGGTGAAAGAAACATGGAAGAGGGAATACGGTGTTCTAGTCAATAAGAACAAAAAGGGGTTCTATGTTTACAGCTTATACCTGTGAATAATTGTTGGATATGGCAGAATTTCCGGATTCAACAGCTTGAGCTGGTTGGATAGGAACATATTCCCCGGTTTCCTCATCCAGATGCAACTGGGCCAGGAAGGCCTTTTCTTGCTCTTTCTGAAGCTGCTCTTCTCTCTCACTTTCAAGCTTTTTCTGCTTCTCAAGTTCATATTCTTTCTTTCTTTGGCTGAAATCAAAAACTTCACGCCTTGCTCCAAGATCTATGTCTTGTCTCCAGAGAATGTCAATCAGAGTCACATCCTATATGCGCGAGAGAAAGAAAGTAAAGACCATCAGGGCTGTCTGTGTTTTAAATGTACTATTCAAAAAGAGTGGCCATTATATCTAAGCGTTTGAAAATACAACCAAAGCCCAAAGTTGATGGATCGATATTAACATCAATGTTATATCCCATAATATAAAATTCAGTAGGTATTTGATTACAAAACATGGAAATGTAGCAATAGGAATAGTGGTTAAAAGAAAAAATGACTTGCACTGTAATGCTGAGCACTGTTTGAAATTTAATGTAAAATATATGTACTGTAAACACTTACTTCAAAACAATCCTATCAATTATTTGTGAATAAACATGCACTGTATGCCTGTAGTCTTAAATGTCTTTATTGCTCATTAGTAAATGTAAATAGGGCTGTCATAAATAAATGTCATAAATAAGTATATCAGATTCCAAAAAATATTCAAAGGCATGCACCGGTAAGCATTAATAAGTAGTTCAACACAGAATTACATAATGTTATTATATCTGTGTGAATGCTAGTAATCTTGCCATTTTTAAAAAAATGTCAGTGATTGTTGGTGAGACCATTAAAAGTTGTTTGCGCTGTTTGAAATTGTTCTGCCGGCAGCAAGATCTGACTGCTGGCCTAGCGACGACGGATTCTATTGCAAATCAGGGCTGTTTCCGAAGGAGGCAGAGGAGGAGAGGTCCCGGGGTTTATGGAGCGAAGGAACTGGATGAGGCTGTCGGCAGGCCCAGAGGAAGGGAGAGAGGCTTTTGGAGGAGTTGGAGGCGGTGGCAGCAGCATGCTCCAGGGGTGAAAAGGAGCAAGGCCCCTTTAAGGAAAAGGTGGAAGAGACAGGATCAGAAAAAGGAAAGGAGGCGAGGTTATCATGCAGAAATACAAGCTAATCTGAGGGCTAATCCACATGGAGCTCTATTTCCATCTGTCCTGTTTGCCATCGTTTACTCCCTAGAGCTGTGGTGGCGAACCTATGGCACGCATGCCACAGGTGGCACGCAGAGCCCTCTCTGTGGGCACACGCGCCCTCGCCCCAGTCCTAGGCCTTCAGCTGGGTTTTATAAAACCTTTTCGCTTTAGGCCTCCGCCGCCGTGTGCAAAAAAAAAAAGGTTCAATCAATTTTAACTTCTCGCAGGGGAAAAAAAAGATCTCGCAAAGTTGGAATTGATTGAACTTTTTAGTCCCACCCAGTCTGCCGTTACCACCGCATCCATGCCCACCCATTGGGCCACGCCCACCCAATTGGCCACATCCACCCGGCACCCGACGATACATAAGTGGGTTTTGGGTTGCAGTTTGGACACTCGGTCTCTAACAGGTTCGCCATCACTGCCCTAGAGACTAAAATGGACGTTCTGAAACTTGAGTTGGCCCCGAACAAGGAACGGATATTGGAGATGGTGACCCTTTGAGAGCTGTATGCAACGAAATTTCATTTTGATGTATGCCGATTGGTGTACATTCAAAGTGACAATAAAGTTATTATTGTTATTATTATTGTTATTATTGTTGTTATTATTTTCAAGATTGCCAAAACACAGCTAAGTAATACATTCTTGATATTACTCATTACTATTGATATTGATAGGAATTATATCATGTCTACTAATATTTACCACTTGTTACATGAATAGATGACAGCTACTGTATTCTTTTATTTTTTTTTAATTATTCAATGCTTAGAAGTCAGCTTGATTAAGTTAACTCCAGTTTCTTAAATACTATTTTGTCTTACTAAAGGAACTGGCCAGCTAAGAATATTGAATATTGAATTATAGATTAAGGCAAATCTCTCTTTAAGGATACTTCAAAAAGTTATGACAGTAAATGACACCAGATATTGCAAGCTTAATTCTTTTATAAAAATGAATATAGGGGAAAATCCAGGAGAAAAATTATTCTGCAAGGTGACAACAACAATACTTTATTGTTCAGCCATAAATTCATACTGTAATATAAAATCTTAGAATAAAGCCTTCATTGCAAAATAACTAAAAACAAACTTAGCTAATCTCATTGTACACATGTTGTACTCTGACAATAAAGGTTGATTTGATCTGATTAGCATATATCATCTTATGAGCTTATCATTTACAAGTTACTTCAATCAGATGTAAATATGCAAATCCAATTGTACTGCTTTATTCAACAAGGACATTGTTTTATATGTGTAGCGGGGACTGCCCGAGAGTGCTTGCAGGAGCTTGACTGGGAAGGGGAAGATTGGGACAGCTGCAGTTGGCTTGAGTGTGGCTGGCGTGAGTGGAAGGAGGAAGGATAGAAAAGGGAAGAAAAGGAGAAGGCAGGTGGGTTGGAGTTGAGAAGAGAAGGTCTGGAAGCTTACTTTATTTTTCTATCAAGGGTATTTTAAATAGAGGCTAGATAGAGTGAAGTTTTATTGCTTCCTCCGTGGGAGGATATCTGAAAAGGCAAGCAAGAGTGTGAAGTAAGGGAGTTGGCTGGGGTTTCTAGCCTCGGATTTTAATAATAAAGAGTAAGGGAGGGAGGTGGTTTTTGAATCCTGAAACCTGAGGAGGAATTCTAGAGAAGAAGCACCAGGAGGAGAGAGACTGGTGGTGCCAACTGTTGCTGCCAACTGTTGTTGTGGACTGTGGAGGCATCTGGACTGTGGCCATCACTGCTGGCATAGGTGCTGGGACATTGTGGGGAGAGTTGCCCTGGGGGATGAGCCATTGCCATAACATACTGGCCGTCGTTGTTATTATTACCATCTGGAGCCGGGGTTTACCCCCCCCCCCCCCCCT